GTTGAACTTCTTTACTGATTCAACAACTAAGATGTATGAAAGAGTAACTTTAACAATCTTAGTTTTGATGAAAATTGTTGATATTTCAAAATAGTTTTACCACAATAAAAACACAAAGTATCCAATAATTGTAATTATTTTGTGGAAATTTCACAAGTGAAAATTCAGTGCAAATAATACAAGTGAAATTGTGATAATGTGAATTAAGCAATTTTCAGCAAAATTAAGCATATATTCTTAATGTTAAATAGATCAGCAGAGATTTTTGTATTATTATGAAAATAGACCATATTCCAGTAGAACAGACTGTTATGAGATGCATTAATAGAAGAACTGGCTTTCTTAAAATACAGCTTCCTTTGGCAATACCTCAAGTAAAGCTCAGTAATTTTTCAAAATTTGAAGTTTTCCACAAAGCTCTGCTAGGAAACAATTAACAGTCTTACATTTCCTATTACTCAGAAATTGTGATTTCTAACATATGATCATCTTGTGTTAAGATAGAGTCAAGGGTTGTATTTTTAAAAATAATAGTATCAATCCATATAGCTACAAGTACAAAATTCCAGGCGTAACACATCAAGATTTTCCTAAACTGCAACATTTCATCAGATGAAGTAATATATCACAATCATGCATTTGTATCCCTAATTGAACATATTGTTGGATGTGCATGTAAGTTAGTTAACAGACAGTGTCAGTAAAACAAACTGGTTTTCAGCTTTGGCCTGCTTGGGTATCTATATTTCTAGATACAAATAATATTATACCAGCATTAGGTGTCAATTATTTCCATAAAGAGCCATTACAGCTTTAGCAAAGAAAGTGAAAATGATGCTTGACTCCTTGTTACTATTCAGATAATATATTAGTTATTAATGAGATTGTGCAATACTCGAGAAATACTCGAGGATGTCCTGGATGGTGAATTCCATAGTAATTCCAGAACCAGGATAACAGCGAGCTATCAGACCCTCAAAATGCTTGTACTGACGAATGAATTCATCCTGCATGGAATGCCACATAACCTTCAAGGAAAAATAAATATAATAATTAACAAAAAAGTTCACAAGCTGCAATCCAGTATTTCACCAACAGGTTAGTGGAAAAAACATTTTCTACATTTGAAAATATGACTTTCTTTTAAAAAAAGGTTTGTACTTGATTTATGGTTTTATTTTAAAGACCTTTTAATTATTTACTCTTCATATAACCACTACCATACCTCCATTTACAACTCCTAATTGAGGGATGAATAAAATATTTAAAAATCTTCACTGGTACCAATACCATGAATCAAAACTCCTGTCTTCTGCACAAATCTTTCATTCAGGCATTCAACCCTGATCTGTATAACCCACTTCCAATTTGTATGTGGCTTGAATAGTAATTCAGACATTATATTTGAGAATCTTACTAATTTGAACACTAGATGCTGAAACTCTTTTCTCATTCTACTTATGCAATTGCTTCCAGTATGGGCCACAAAGAAATCACCACCATCCAACTTCTTCTTCAGCAGTGAGGAACTATCCCTAACCCAGACAACGGATAGGCAACACAACCGTTGAAATTTTTGATTGTGGATGCAGACTATAGTATCTGCCCCGGGCTAGTGTCCACTATTATTAGCACATTCTTTTTCACTCTCCTCTGTAACAGTGCCCTAATTAGTCTACTCATCCATTCAGCAAACATTTCCCTTATCGAACTGTAGCAAGAACCTCAACTTTTGAATAAAGAAAAAGGCAGAAGCTACTTCAGCAATGCCCTTACATGCCTGATTTGCACTCTCTTGTCAATGCCTCTAACAGCATAGTCAGTGGACCTGTACCAGCTTGACTGCAAAGATTCAAGGCAGAGGCTAACTAACACTTTCTTGAGGGCAATTAAGGCTGGACAACAAATGCTGGCCTTGCCAGCGATGCTCACAACCCAAGAAAGGACTTTTAAAATAAATCACCTCACATATCACTTTACACCTTAAGCAGTACAACTGTCCAGACAACTGTCCCTTGCCCTGATGCCTCGCAATGTCTTCACCTCTAATACTGCTCAATAACTGAGCTGAGGTTCCTTGAAATGCAAACCCTAAAGATATGTTTCTATAAGATTGCAATGCAACAAAACACCCACATGCTGCACATAAAACCTGCACTGCCATCCCTACTTTTACTTATTCAGTTTAAGAATTATGTTAAATAATTACATTAACCTTCAATTTCGTGCGTCATTTTGACTGATAGAATTTTGTAAAGTTTCTTCAAATATGTTCCTTGTGTTGTTTTTAAATCCTTACCTGGTTTGAACAACTGTGCCATTATAACAATAAAGGCGGAAATTGTGTATTCTCATGGACAAAGATGAGAGTGGTCCTAAAGGAAGAGTGCTAAATTGGGGGAAGGCCAACTATAGCATGACTTGACTTGAGAGTTTCACTGTCACCGTTTCACCCACGTTTATGCCGTTTATGATGCCTTTAATTGGTGATCACTTTGTACAACAGAAATACTGTTTACTCTTTAGTGAGTAAGTGGGAAATAACATTCATTCCACGAAGAGCAGACAAAATATTATTGACAGAGAGCATGCAGCAAAGGTTCAGCAGGATGGTGACATTGCCCTATAGAGAGAAGTTGGGCTTTTATAGAGTTTTGAAGAATGAGAGGTGATCTCATTGAAACTTGAAAAATATTTAAAGGGATAGAGGGAGGAGATGTAGGCAATATATTTCCCCTAGTTGGGCAATTTAGAACAAGGGAGCACAATTTAAAAATAAGGGGATTCTAATTAGAAACTGAAGGAGGAGAATTTTTTTTTTTTTTTTTTTAAAAATAACTCAGAGCATTGCAAATCTTGAAAATTCTCTATCCCAGACAGCTGTGAAAGCTCAGTCTACCAGTATTTTTAAAGTAGAGATTGATAAATTTTTGATTATTGATGAGCTATCAATAAAGGATTGTGGGGACAGTGTGAGTAAAAGGCAATAGAGTTTCTGATAAATAAAGAAGCAGGCTTGATAGGAACAGGAGTAAGCCATTCAGCCCATGTTCCCATCACCAGCTCCAACAGGAGAAAGTCTAACCACCTTCCCTTGGGAGGTAAACTGTACTATCATTAAACTATCCATCCACATCCTGGATGTCACCACTGAGTTAAAAAGCAAATGACCAGACATACAAGATTGTGGCTACGAATGCAGGACTGAAGCTGGGTATTCTGCTGTGAGTAACTTACCAGCTTCCTCCCCATAGGATTTCCACCATCTATAAGCCACAAGGCTGAAGTCTAATGGAAAACTCTATAGCTGGCTGGGTCAGCACAGCTCCAATAACACTCAAGAAGCTCAGTGCCATCCCATCCATCACAAACTCCTTACACCACTAGCACATTGTAGCTGCATGTACCTACAAGACAATGTAATGCAGTAACTTGAAAAGGTTTCTTTGATAATGCTTCCCAAATTCATGACCTTCATTGTCTAGAAGGCCAAGTGCAACAGCCATGTGAGAACACCATCTCAAAGTTGGCCTCCAAGTCACAGATCACCGGACTTGAAAACATATTGCTACTTACAGCCAGGCGGAAGTCTTCAGACTCCTGTCTAAAAATATTATACAAGTACCTTCATCGTATGGATGACAGAGATTCATGAAAGTCACTCATTACTGCCGTTAATGGCTTTTATAAATGACAAACAAATACAGTTCTGGTCAACAATTCCTGCATCCATGAATAAATTTAAAGTAGAATTAAGTTTAGACATTCAATGGATAGTCACCTGCAACAAATTTTCTTCCTCACACAAATGCTTGTCCACTTTCTTATATAGGTTATCCAGTCCTTTTTTCACTTCCTTTCCAGGATATTCTTTAATGACTTTTCGCAGCTCTTGCTTATTGAATGCTAGCTGGTAGCTCACTTCCTCTTCCCTGATTCCCTGTGCCACACGAGCTTCAATTCCCTCAAAGAAATGCTGTATTCACAAGAAAATAGTTAATGGCAACATCATAAAGCTTTACTTCACTTAAGTGATCCATGAAAACTTACAGCAAACGCAATTTCGACAAATACACTCCAACAAACTGCAGCACAATTGTTAAGCTGGCAACCAACTGCCGTGTTTTTAGGCTAGTATTTTAGTTGTCATTTGCTCACCAAGAAAATGCTTATAAAAATACAACTGATTTCCAATAATTTATTTTAATCCCAGCCAGATTTCAAAAGTCTACACAAAAACTGTATTTTAGATTCTAACTGCATGAAGTTTTCCAGGGATTGTAAATTTCAATAATATTCTGGCATATTATTAAAACTACAGAAATATGAAAACTAACAATTAAACTTCAGTTTCATTTTGACTGATAGAATTTTGTAAAGTTTCTTCAAATATGTTCCTTGTGTTGTTTTTAAATCCTTACCTGGTTTGAACAACTGTGCCATTACAACAATAAAGGTGGAAATTGTGTATTCTCATGGACAAAGACGAGAGTGGTCCTAAAGGAAGAGTGCTAAATTGGGGGAAGGCCAACTATAGCAGAATTCGGCAGGAGCTGGGGAACGTGCAGTGGGAGCAGCTGTTTGAGGGTAAATCCACACTTGATATGTAGGCGGCTTTTAAAGAGAGGTTGATTAGAGTGCAGGACAGACATGTCCCTGTGAAAATGGGGGATAGAAAGGGCAAGATTAGGGAACCGTGGATGACAGGTGAAACTGTGCGACTAGCAAAGAGGAAAAAGGAAGCATACATAAAGTCTAGGCGACTGAAAACAGATGAAGCTTTGGAAGAATATCGGGAAAGTAGGCCAATCTGAAATGAGGAATTAAGAGGGCTAAAAGGGGTCATGAAGTATCTTTAGCAAATAGGGTTAAGGATAATCCCAAAGCCTTTTATTCGTACATAAGGAGTAACAGGGTAACTAGAAAAAGGGTTGGCCCACTCAAGGACAAAGGAGGGAAGTTGTGCGAGGAGTCAGAGAAAATGAGTGAGATTCTTAATGAGAACTTTGCGTTGGTATTCACCGAGGAGAGGGACATGACGGATGTTGAGGTTAGGGATAGATGTTTGATTACTCTAGGTCAAGTTGGCATAAGGAGGGGGCAAGTGTTGGGTATTCTAAAAGGCATGAGGGTGGACAAGTCCCCAGGTCCGGATGGGATCTATCCCAGGTTACTGAGGGAAGCAAGAGAGGAATTGGCTGGGGCCTTAACAGATATCTTTGCAGCATCCTTGAGCGTGGGTGAGGGCCCGGAGGACTGGAGAATTGCTAATGTTGTACCCTTGTTTAAGGAAGGTAGCAAGGATAATCCAGGTAATTATAGACCGGTGAGCCTGACGTCAGTGGTGGGGAAGCTGCTGGAGAAGATACTGAGGGATAGGATCTATTTACATTTGGAAGAAAATGGGCTTATTAGTGACAGGCAGCATGGTTTTGTGCAGGGAAGGTCATGTCTTACCAACTTGATTGAATTCTTTGAGGAAGTGACAAAGTTGATAGATGAGGGAAAGGCTGTAGATGTCATACACATGGACTTCAGTAAGGCGTTTGATAAGGTTCCCCATAGTAGGCTGATGGAGAAAGTGAAGTTGCATGGGGTCCAGGCTGTACTAGCTAGATGGATAGAGAACTGGCTGGGCAACAGGAGACAGAGTTGTAGTGGAAGGGAGTTTCTCAAAATGGAGAACTGTGACCAGTGGTGTTCCACAGGGATCCGTGTTGGGACCACTGTTGTTTGTGATATACGTAAATGATTTGGAGGAAGGTATAGATGGTCTGATTAGCAAGTTTGCAGATGACACTAAGGGGGAGTAGCAGATAGTGAAGGGGACTGTCGGAGAATGCAGCAGAATATAGATAGATTGGAGAGTTGGGCGGAGAAATGGCAGATGGAGTTCAATCCAGGCAAATGCAAGGTGATGCATTTTGGAAGATCCAATTCAAGAGCGAACTATATGGTAAATGGAAAAGCCCTGGGGAAAATTGATGCACAGAGAGATCTGGGTGTTCAGGTCCATTGTACCCTGAAGGTGGCAATGCAGGTCGATAGAGTGGTCAAGAAGGCATACGGCATGCGGCATGCTTTCATTCATCAGACGGGGTATTGAGTACAAGAGTTCGCAGGTCATGTTGCAGTTGTATAGGACTTTGGTTCGACCACATTTGGAATACTGTGTACAGTTCTGGTTGTCACATTACCAAAAGGATGTGGATGCTTTGGAAAGGGTGCAGAGGAGGTTCACCAGGATGTTGCCTGGTATGGAGGGTGCTAGCTATGAAGGGAGGTTGAGTAGATTAGGATTATTTACATTAGAAAGACGGAGGTTGAGGGGGGACCTGATTGAGGTCTACAAAATCATGACAGGTATAGACAGGGTGGATAGCAAGAAGCTTTATCCCAGAGTGGGGGACTCAACTACTAGGGGTCACGATTTCAAGGTGAGACGGGAAAAGTTTAAGGGAGGTATGCGTGGAAAGTTCTTTACGCAAAGGGTAGTGGTGCCTGGAACGCGTTGCCAGTGGAGGTGGTAGAGGCGGGCACAATAGCGTCATTTAAGATGTATCTGGACAGATACATGAATGGGCAGGGAGCAGATGGATACAGATCCTTGGAAAATAGGAGACAGGTTTAGATAGAGGATCTGGATCGGCGCAGGCTTGGCGAGCCAAACAGCCTGTTCCTGTGCTGTAATTTTCTTTGTTCTTTGTATTACACAAAGTAATTTCAATGTTTTACTTTAAAATCAGTTGTAGATTATTTAAAATACTCCTCTCTAAAAGAAACAACATAATGGTTGATAGTCACTTTGTCTTAATGTTTTAAAAAAAAAGTGTAGGATTCAATTTCTATTGACATATACTACTTAACAGTTATAATAACTTGTTAACATGTCATTGTTAAATCCACATTTGGAGTGATGAATAGTTTACTAATGCTCCTGCTTTATTAATGATCAACATTCCACTGGATAGCAAGCTTCTTCATTACCCAAGATGTGGGTTCCTTAAGAGTTTAATGACCACCACAAATCCATGGTCGATTGCTGGAAAAACCCATCTAGCTCACTAATGTCCTTTAGGGAAGGAAACTGCCATCCTTACCAGGTCTGGCCTACATGTGACTCCAGACCCACAGCAATGTGGTTGACTCTGACCTGCTCGGTGGGCACTCAGGGATGGGCAATAAACGCTGGCCCAGCCAGCGATACCTTCACTCCTGTGAATGAGATTTTTTGATTCAATCTCAAGAAGAACTCTTAACAACTCCAGATTAAGGGCAAACATGAAAGTTTTGTATGCGAGTATCATAAAGAAAAACTCACATTAAGTTTCTCAAGAGGTTGTCCCAGAGAGTATATCACGTAAAATTGCAAATGCTCTGTATATTTGTGTTTAGCTTCTCTCCTTTCCGTTTCAAGGCATGCAATTTTAAGACGAGACAGTGTTGAAAAAATGTGGTGAAAATTTTCCATCATCACAACGTCCCTTGGTGTCTTCTGACTTTCATTCGCGACTTTTTCCACTGAGAATGGAATATATTATAAATAATGTAAGGAACACTGTCACAAATACAGGTATCAAATCAGTGCAATCAGTTCACCTTTTAACAGCCTCTCACCATTGTTGTAAACAGCCCGTATTAGTTTGGTGTAAGCTTTGTCCAGGTCCCCTCTGCGCTCAGCACTTTTGAAGATGGTCTCTGCTAGCTCTGCAAACTCTTCAAACCCACTAACAAATGGTAGAATTCCAACTTTACTCTTCTTTGATATCTTCACTTCTTCCATCTGTTTAATTTGATTCAACTGAAATATACAAATGGCAAACTAATTCAGATTTGTGTATTTACAGACCTGAAATCTGGGCATTTGTCTAAAGTCTAAATCTTTGACCACTATAAATAATTTATAACATACAACAACAAAAGTCTTCTTATACACAAATGGCCAGATCAGAACGTTCAATTTTAAAGGAAAGAAACTTGCGGAGAAAAGCAGCTCTGTAAATAGTTTCTAATTCTTAGCCACAAAATCAAGATTGCTAGCATAAGTAAAGAACTCTCTGGCTGCAAATTGTAGATTGACTGAAGTATACTTGTTTCAGCTGATTTCATTGCAAGTCATTACTAGATGCTTACTTAGTCAAGCTGAACTTTTTTTTTCAAATAATTGCAATAGAATAAAGAACGAACAGTTAAAATCTTACATCACACTTCCAGCACCATGGACTGCATGGTTCAATGCATGGAATACTATTCTTGTAGGAGCAATCCTTGCTGTACATTAGATGCAATAGATTATGTGCCTTATTTAAAATGAAACTTTTCACCCAGGGACATTTGATTTAAAAAAAAATTTTCAAATACCCATGTGACCAAAAAGCAAAGAGAAGGTGAGCCATTTAAAAAGGATTAAAGTTCCCAAATTGCACAGCGGATTCATACAATGAAAGCCTCAGTCCCGCATTCAGAGGCCCCAATTCATGTTCTGTTTATGTCAAGTGAACCAAACTCAGTTTACGGGGTATGTGTGTGCACGCCAAAATTACCCTCTGCATCCCTGGGTTAAGCACAGAAAATCGTCCAGAATTCCTCCTCAATCATTATCCTGTAGCTCTTGGTGTCGCTGGAGATTTGATGAGGGCAGGATCAGCTTGGCAGTAATGCACACTACATTGAAATCGTCTCCTAAAATTCTCACATGAAAGTTGGCTGCATGGATGAGATGCTAAAGGATGCCCTGCACTCAGGAAATGTACCCAACATCTTCAAGTAGAAAAAATTGGCAGGAAAAGACTAGTAAAAAGGCAAAATGACTATGACAGAATAACTAATTTCTTCATTTTTGTTACTTGGAGAAGGCTCTACCTATGATATAGTTTGCTTCATATTATTCATTTCAAGGCTCTTAAGTTTTGTTCCTGTTCTCCAAGGATTTCCAAACTAGGAAATTATTTCTATGCACATCTATAATTATGGTAAAACCTGTTGGATACAATACTTATGAGTAAATACAGCCAACACCAAAAGGCATAACTTGGATCAATGAATGATTTGTTTCAGATACCATTTTCTTAAAATAATACTTACAATGCATTTGTCAAAATTCCTCTTGACTGTTACAAGAACATTTCCTAATGTGGTACTGAGAAAGGAGGCAGGATCTACATTCTCTGCTGTCCAAACGTGATGACTCATCTTCACCAACATATACAATGAGTTAAAGCTATCAATCTTGTCCCCAAGTGAAATGAGGTTGTTTAGCTCTGGCTCAATACAGCGGAAAACTTTTATCATCATTGATCGAATGATGCCTGCCTCCTCTTTTCTGCAATTGTAAGCAACATGGCTTTTAGTCAAACAATTAAACATTATAAAATTCCTACACACAGAAATCAGTTTTTAGCCCTTTTGACATAGAACACCATTAATATTAGTGTAGTGGCCAAAAGCACACAAATAAAATGGGTAGCGCTGCTCTTATACAATTCATTGATCTTTTGAAAACACACAAATCAGTGTACTTGGAACATAAATTGTAAGAAATGATTGAACAACTTCCTTCAACATAAAGTGCAAATCAAATCCAGGATCTGTCATTTACCAGAACAAAGCTGAATTACCTTCCTAGCTCATACATATTGTACTTTTTCATGATACAGATATTTAATGACAAACGGAGTTTCAGTTTCAATGCTAACCAGAATTCTAAACATTTGAACATGTATAACACTTTACATTTTGCAGATTTACAGTCAATGCTCAATTTGATGAAGCTTCGTACAATTTACCCCAAATACGGAATCTCTGGAAAGGCAAAGTTTGCCATATTAAAATAAAATTGTAGCTTATATAGATTTTTATTCCCTTTTTTCATTGTTCAACTACATTTCAATAATTATTTGCATTGTAATACAGTACAGTTTTCCTCTGATGCTATACTGGATTTTTAGTAACTGTGGTCAAGACCTAAAACTACACTTTTAAAACCTGAATTGGTCAATTTATGTTTCATTGGAAAACAAAAGTGCTACATCACTATGTTAGTCGCTCTACCATACAAGTACATTAATGGCTACTAAGGTTTCGGAGCCTGCATGTAAGCTTCCTGTCAGAAATGACAGATAGAGATGTAAACAACACAGTGACACATACAGATCCTGTAAACGAAGACAGTTTTAGTATGGAAGGGCAAATGTGTTGGCACAGGCTTGGAGGGCTGAAGCTCCCGTTCCTGTGCTGTATCATTCTTCGTTATTCTTGTTCTAATGTGTTGTACAACAGAGTGATTGATAACATATTATAAAAACTATTCCTTTACATGGAAGGTTGCCAAATTTTAAAATCAAGCATTGACACCTTCACCTATTTTCTTATCAAAGGTTTGGTAGATCATTAAAACTGTAAACATAGGAAAAGAGAAATGGGTAAAAAAGACATCAAAATGATCAAATTATAATGAAAATAATTGAGTGTGTCTCATTTCCCCTTGTCTCTTTCGTGGGAAGTGTGTAGCAAGCTCATTTCTCATGGCCATTTAGCAAGGTATTTTACATCATCAATATTAGATTATCTTAAGTTTGATCAGAGCCTACAAAATTAAGTCCTGTAGACTGGCTGAAAATTTCTCTCAATTTACGAGTCATAAAGTTTTCGATAATGTTGATGCCAAGCATCTTGACACTTACTCAGATGGTAACGAATGTCTGTCTCCCGAAATATTATGTGGTCGAGACAGAAGTGCCCCATCTACATCAGTGGAGTCTCCCTAATGGTATGAATAAAAAAACACTAAAATATACAAGTCATTTTGTTTAAGGTAACTTTAACATATGACTTTTTCATTTTAATAGACAAAAGAATACAGTACAAATTTTAAAATAAATCCATCTATGTTTGAAGTTGCTGAATTTAATGAAATATTTAACCCACTGCAACTTTCAATTCTACGAGCAACTGAAGCTCAAAAGGAAGTTAGCCATTGCAGTACTGAGATAAGAAGAAGTTGCAGTGATTCAATGAACCAAAAGCCTCAGAACACGAGATGCACAGTTCATATTATTTTAAGTTTCATTTTCGCTGCAGGTCTCTACACGCTGCCATCAAGGAAATGACAGTCAGAAACATGAACTAGGGAATTATTCACTGTGATTTTCCTTGGGGTGACCAATAAATGGCAGAGAATGTGCTAGTCATTCTTAATAGGCTTTTTAAACCAAAACAGACAGGTAGGAAAGGCTGGTAGGCCTGTCTAGAGTGTTGTACTCCAGCCGAGTGGATTTCTCTTCACAATGTTGTTGGTACCTGCCAGAAAGAGATCGCAACATCTATTGCTCACTCACCTCCAGCAAGATTGGCTGGAGGGAGGATCAAATCAGGCCACCAACCCAACAGCGATCTTATCTAGTTCTGCCTCCAGCCCTGTCAGATCAGGTCTAATAATCTGCCAGTGGCTAAAATGTTTATATAGTAATTGTAAAAATATATTTGTGTATTTTCCCTTAGCTCCATACACTGATGCACATTGATGACAGCAACAAAAAAAAAGTATTCACAGGAACTGATAATTCTGCTCTCGAATAAAGAGATGCACTTTATCAGATTTTGGCACATTCTGAATGAAGAAGTGCTTCCTGCTCCATTTTGTTCCACACTTTATGATTCAGTTTACAGAAGAAGACACTCAAGCAAGTATGGCTGAATGAATTATGGGGAGGTGTAAATAAAGGGGTTTTAACAGGAAAACAAAAAACTTCAGCAGCTAATTTTAAAAGCCAAGATTGTTAGTAGAGGAAAGGAACTTGCAATTGTTTTCCATCCAGGAATGATCTGCAGGAGCGTTCCATTTTGGCAAAGGAGTTGAGGCATTGCATGATATATTCAAGCAAGGCCCCACAAATGCATGGGTAAGCCAGTTGTGTGCCACATAAATTTAAGTTCTCCTGCTTGGATTTGAGAAACGAAGATGTAAGGGAATATAATCAGGATTTGGAACAGTGGAAGATTTGTTGAACGTGAACGGCCAATAGTGACTGACATTAGGGGAGCCAGCGAGAATGAACAGCATGCTGCAAACATGGTTTCTAGAGTTCGTATCAAGGAAAAAGGAGAGCTGATATTAAGATTGAAATGACCATGTAGGAGCAGTGATTCCGTGCAGAGCAAAGTATTTTGTTTCTATTATCCTAGTAAGATTGAGCTGCAGTCACAAATAATTTGACTATTTGCATGAATTGATCCACTAGTTAGTTAATCTAAAAATAGAAGGTATTTGTCTTTAATTAACATGGCTTAAGTGGCTTGGGCACAAATTTTAGGACACTACATTATGAAATGGATTTGCGTATAAGGTTGCTAATACGTTTTATTCCTCTTTTCCAATTCTTTTATAACTGGTAGCAAATAATAAGTTTTCATGTCTTTGCTAAACTTCAATTAAAGCTTTACTATTCCCAAGAATGATAACTTGGCACTATTTTTATTGATGAACAATGCATCTTAATGATTTCAGACAATTTGCTAATACAAAGGAAATGCATTGAGCTCATAAATGACTAGATCGCCAAATTCTCTTTTAAACTTAAATGGAACGTATCAAAATCTTCATCAATTCCTTGTTGCTTTAATGATTTTCCATGTCCCTTCTTGAAATTTCAGATGTAAGGAAGAAGAAAATGGGTTCCAGCACAGCTATTATATCCATACTAGGAGTCGCAATTTCCAAAACTGGTACACAGTCTTGAAAGAGATTAAACAATATCATTTTTAATACAAACAGTTTGAGTCATTGTGTCCCGAAGCATGATAAAAAACAACGCATGACTATTCTTCTTCAGAAATAAAGATAGCATATTTCTCCTTTCTTTGTAAGTAAAACTGTAACAATAAAATGTATTAAAAAGGTCGTACCACTATAGATCCTGGTAATGCTGGGCTCTGTTGTAGCTTGAAGAATTTGCTAATGAAGTCTTGTTCAGCTAAACACAGGGGCTCAAGCTCACTCAGGACCTGCTCAAAAATCTGCATAAAAGGAACAATGTTTAATACAGATAATCAGATTATCACGTTTTACTTATGTACATACATCATATCAGAAGGAGAAGACAATTTGGCCCTTTGAACCTACTCTGCCATTTATTAAGATCATGGCTGATCTGATTGCATTCTCAAATCCATATACTTGTCTATCCTTGATAATCTTTCATTCCCTTGCTCAAAAAGAATCTATCCTTCTCCGCCTTATAAATATTCAAATACTATTTCTACTGCCTTTTCAAGAGAGTTCTGAAGACTCAACTGAGAGAAAAAAAATTAACCTCATCTGTTTTAAATAGGTGATCCCTCATCAAGTCACCTTTAACTCTTCTAAACTCCAGTGGAACCAAGCCTAATATTTCCCATCCTTCCTCATAAGACAACGCATCTATTCCAAGTATCAGTCTGGTAAGAAGGCTCTATACTGCTTTTAACATATTTGCAGCCTTTCTTAAATAACCAGACCAATATGGTGTATAATAGTACAGATATAGTCTCACCAATGTCCTTTATAACTGAGGCATAACCTCTCTATTTTTGTTTTCAAATACCCCGACAATAAATAACAACATTCTACAAGCTTTCCTATCCTCTATACTATGGGACCCTATTGCAGGTAGATAAAATTCATAAAGAAACATACAAAGAAGGTGCTCAAGACTTTTGTGTATTGTTAAGTTAGAATCTTCAGGAAATTTACCATGCCTGCTATCAAAATTCCCAAGCAGAAAACTGTCTCATCATCCAAATGTTTCCAATATCTCACAAAATGATTAAAAATGCTGGCCTTTCAGAAGTATACACAGAGCTCACGAATGTGCACATATCTGGTAAGACCAACATGTTTTCCGAACCTATATTTCCTCAAGAAATTCTTGAACTTGCAGTCCATACGGTTCAGGTACACCACAGTCTTACTTGTGACTCCAGATTTTTGATCCAGCTCCACTGAAAGAATGGTGATATAGTTTCAAGTCAAGATGGTTTGTGGCTTGGAGGAAAAATTGCACATTGTGGTGTTCCCATGCATCAGCTGCCCTTATCCTTCTAGGTGGCAGAGGTCACAGGACAAAGGAGGCTTGGTTAGTTGCCAAAGTGGATATTGGAGGTCGTACACACCACAGCCATTATGCACCAGTGGTCAAGGGAGTAAAATATTTTTAAGGTTAAAATATCCTCCAATCTTTCAAATTGTTAATTTCACTATATGTTATAACTGTGTTTCTCTCATTACAGATATTGTCTGACCTGATGAGCATCTCCACCACTTTGTTTAATTTCAGACTTCTACCATTTGCATTTTGTTTTTCGGAAAAAAAAACAAGTGTTATGTGTAATAGATTTTGTTTAAAAAAAAAAAACAAAATCTTTCCTTCAATTCATAGATTCATAGAAATCTTGCGCTCTTTATATTGCATATGAACTGAAAATCATAGTATGGTCCTTATTAACAAAGGAAAATACAATGAAGCTGGAAGTAAATCTTAAACAAGGACCAAATGAGAAGGCTAAAAAAGTAAAGCTTTTTCTTAACATAACAGGCCCCAAAACAAACTAAATAAATCTTAGCTACATTTTTATAACACCCATTTTCATCTGCCAATAATTAAAACATATGAATGCTTGCCTCTTGGTGCAAATATTTCACAAGTGTAAAGAAGTTACACAAAAGAAGGGATTTACCTTATCAAACTTTGTTCGATCAGCCACATCAAGGTCTGATGCAGACATGTTTCCCATGTCCAGCAGGGAAGATGACTGAGAGCGACGATTCCCTGATCCTTGAACAGTCAGTTTGTTTAGGCTGGATGTAGAACCAGTAAGTTTTCCAGAACTTCCATGGAGACCTGCAGTTCAATAAATTGAAATAAATGGCAAACAACTTCTATTTACATTACTGAGATTCCAAATATCCTAAATATCACTGGTGTAGTTAGGGAATAGGATCTTTAATAAAAATCAAAACATTTTAACGAGTCCTTGAGGATTATTTTATTTAATAGCTGGTAGTGTAATACTGTTCGATTTTTAAAAACTCCCCCTTGCAGTTAATCCTTTGCTTAGACAATAATCGCAGAATTCAATTTTTTGGGCAAAGCATACTTTGAACTACGAGTAAACTGGGCATCTTTACCAAGAATGATGTCCAGGAACCTTTAGGCTTCCACCATTTTACTTTCAGTGTCATCCAGCATCCCTTCATCAAAATGAGGAAAGCCCAGTTCCCTGGAATTGTTTCAGAGATAGTAGGAACTGCAGATGCTGGAGAATCTGAGATAACAGGGTGTAGAGCTGGATGAACACAGCAGGCCAAGCACCATCAGAGGAGCAGGAAAGCTGATGTTTCGGGTC